ATGGAGAGGAGAATTGAAGTAAAATTTGTTTGTTGAATAAGTTTAGTTTAATAAAAACAGAACAGTTCTTAACAGTTTAATAGGTGAAAATTAAGTAAAATACAATAATAATGGTGAATAAGAATAAGAATTGGAAAAAAAACAAACAAGTGATGCACAATGCAGGTACTCAGCACACACTGACCAATGCCAAACTCCCCTTCCTGAACCCAGATCAGCCTCCCTTTCAGCAACTCCCCCCAGTTTACACACTGGGCATAACATTCTGGAGTGTCTCTTTGGTCACTTCAGGTCACCTGTCCCAGCTGTGCTCCTCCCCAGTTTCTTTGGTATACTTCCTCACTGGCAGAGCATGAGAAAAGGAAAAAAAATGGGTCCTTCATTTAGGATTAACACAATTTAGCCAAAAATGAAAACATCAACGTGTTACCAACAGCATTCTCATTCCAAATGCCAAACACAGCACTGTGACAGCTCCTGGGAAACAATTAACTCTGCCAGGATTAACCAGGGCACTCAGTTCTCTCTCTTTTATAACAGAAATCTTGTTGTCATCTTAGTGTCATCAAATAGTGGTTGGAAAAGACTATAAAGTCATTGAGTCCAATTGTTAACCCAACACTGCCAGGTCCACTACTAAATCAAGTGCCACATTCACACTTTTTTTGAATGCTTCCAGCAATGTTGCTTCCACCAAGTGGAAGCTTAGCTTGTTTCCTAACATCCAGTCTATACCTCCCCTTGTGCAAATCTTCATCTTCCTTTGTCAATTAATGGAACTCTCAGGTTGACATAGCTTGTGTTGAATGTAAAATAGAAATTATAAACCCTTACCATTCTTTTTCCATGCAGAGATTAGTTCACTCACTCATTCCTGAAATGAGCTGTGGTTCAATGATGGAAAATCCAGAGGAGGAGATTTTAAAGCTGAATCTTCTCATTGTCTCCAAAACTGACTTTTGTATGTTTTTAATTTAGTTTTTTGTTATTACTGTCACAAAAATTCTACTTTATTTCAGTATTTTTGTGGGGATGATGAGAGGCTGTGTTTTTATTTCAGCTCAGTTTGGATTAGATCATATTCTGAGCAGCTGAACATCAGAGATATGAGATGCTATAATCTCAGTGGCATACCCTCAATTTGGAGACTAGTTATGTATGTTTTATGCACATTGGGTCATAAAAAATAAATCTTGCAGGCCTTTCCTGGAAACAACAAACAATGAAAGAAGAATTTCTTGAGCCAGCCCCCAGAAGCAGAAATTTAATGGTAAGAGAGCTGTAGTAGATGTAAATGTCCCCTGCCCAGTCCTGCTGCCAGCACATCTGGCAGTGCTTCCAGCCTTCCTGTCCTGATGGCATCCCACTCTCTCAGGCACCCTCCAGCCTCTGCTCCAACTGTATTTCAGTTTCTTCACCAGGGGATTCCTTGAATTTTATTTATTGGTAACTTCTGGTGGTCCCATTAGTAGCTACAAATTTCTGTTGAACTGGTTTTCAAGACTTAATTTCATAGGCCAAGTGTTAAGAGGAAAAGATAAGCAGTAGTTAAGACAGGCTCTGAGATTATGTTTATTCAGATGGAGAAAACAATGCTCTTTCTCAGATTATTTATCTTGGAAAAAATTGCAACATCTTGATGTCACAGTATAGTATACAACCAGTGCATCCAACGGAATAATTTTCATAGAGTTTTGATTCACTTAATTTCTTAATTAGCTTTACAGCCATGCAACTTCTATATGAGCTTTAAGAGTGCAGTTGTGCCTGTCAGCTCCTGTTAGTTATGCAACAGATATTACCTTCAGGGCTCCCAAAGTATGACTGACTGTCGTGGTCACTGACCATGCAAGATTTCTGCTGCAAACAGTAATTCCAGATGACAGTATTCCCTTGATCCCTGTATATATATATGAGGGAATTGCATGAGCAGAGATCATTATCATCACATGTCATTTATTACATAACTGAGTGTTAACCTTTGGGAAAAAAAAATGTTTCCTGGAGCATTGATCACAGGGATATCTTGGATAAAAAGCTTAGTTTTAAAATAAGTTTTTCATATAGTTTTGGAAGTATTATTTGGAAGTTGTGAGGTGTTACCCTAGTTATTAATTTATGAAAACAGATGTGACAGAAATAATAATTTGTAAAACTCTGGGGAAAACTCCATTTACTTTGAGACTTTCCCTGTAAAAGGCTTACGATGTAAACACAAGGAATAATGCCCTCTTTCTGTCATCTTTCAACTTGGAGAATTCCAAGCTCTTGATGAAAGAGCAGTCTCTAGTACTTCAGGTGAAGTTGGCCACTTGAGCTCTAGACATATGAAGAGGTGACTGCTTGTTGTAAGTGTGTGCAGGTATGTCAAAAGCACAGAGAAATCTCAGCAGCAGCAGCAACTGAATAAATAATTAATAGGCTTCAAAGGATAATGCTGGCTATTCAAGTAACAAAGACTAAAACACCGGACACAGGTAGCCCAGCTAAGGTAGATGCTAATAGATGTTTTGAGTATAAACTGAAGATATTGGGAAACTGAAACAACATTACGTTAGGTATAGGATTCACTGGGAGCAGAATTTTGAGAAATTATTTGCTTAAAAGCAAGGGAAAACTTGCTCTGATGACTAGAAGTTACCCTAAGAATAAACTCCATGCTGCTTAGCAAACTAGTAGGAGCATTGACCAAAGCAGTAGGGATTGTACTGGCTGCAGGCTTGCCTTGGCACAGCAAAGATGTGCAATGTGATAAACATTCATTTTTTTTTATTTGCAAGGAAAGCAGGAAATGCAGGTTACCAGACTGATTTGCCTTACTGTAGTTCAGAACTGAAACTGTAAGGCACCAGATGACATTTGTTATCCTTTCCACCACCTGTCACCCATACGGATGCCCAAGCATATGCCAAAATGTCTATTTTAATTCCAGCTGAAACAATACCAAGAAATGAGAAAACATAAACAGCAACAACATACTCCATAGGTTACACTGAAAGTTTATTCTGTGAGACTCTAAAAGTATTACAGACACTAATCCATGTGTATATAACAAGGGCTCCACCCTGTAGGGCTGTAGACAAAAATGTGTAAAAATGCGTTTATGTGTGGTTTTGTGCTTCAAAATTCTGATTCAGTGTGAGTTGAGATCACTAGCTTTCTGTTTAGTCTGATATTTCGTTCAGTATGTAACATTACTTAAAACCTTAAGGACAGGAGTTGTTTTTTTTTTAAAATCTGAACAGAATAACATTGCTGGACTAGTCGTTTCTGAATCCTCATTTAAGACCTACAGGCAGAAGTGTTAATGAAACTTTTGAAAAACAAGGGAACAGTATTACAATAAAAAATTTATTTTCAAACCTAGGCTCAGGGTTTTAACATACTGTGTAGCCTTATATGTACCTGACCACTAGGATGTAAAAAGCAAATACTGATTAGAAGGTAGGACACAAAACATCAATATATGGTTCATGTGATCAATAGCCAGTGTCTAAAACAAAATCCACTGCAGGTATCAGAACAACACCCTCTTTCTTACCATGCAATTTGCATGAAGGTCTGCTGCACTTCCAGTTCCAGCTGCTGAAAAATGAAAAATAAAGCACCCTTAGCTACATGTTTCCAGAATATCACTTGAAATTTATTTGAATAATTTCTAATATATAATACCATATACTGTTAACTATTTAAAAACTTGACTAAAATAGAATGGAACTAGGAATACCCACCAAAGTTCTGTTGAACACCTATTTAGTTCAGCTAAAAGCTGCTTTCCACAGCTTGAGGAGAAGCAGCAAACCAAGACCTTCTGAGATCATCACAGCTTTTGACTTAAATAAGGAGATTGAGTCTCAGCTTCATCCTACTGGCTGAGAAGATAAACCACCTGGACATGTATTTTTCTTGATCTGCTTTCTCTTGGAGTGCAGCTTAACTTCTTGCTTGTGAGCTGGTGGGCTCTTATGACTGTTCCGGTCAAATTAAAATTAACCCAGTATTTAAAAATATGTGTATATATTTTTGTTAAACAGCTGTTCAAGACAATTTTTTTCTCAAAACATGATCAAAAATCTCAAAGGCTTTTCATCTACCTTACTCTGTTTGTGAGATTCATAGCATCTTTTTTACTATAAAGGATAAAATTAACCACCACAGCTTAGTATATCTTATGTCTGTCAAAATAAACACATATGGAGTGAAACTTTTTCCTTATTGAAATTAATAACAACTCTACAACAGCCCTTTGTATAGACAAAAATTTATGTGTATTGTTGAAGAGCAGTGGTAAACTCAAAACATTTTAATAGAAGTTTTGAAAACTAAAAGATGTTTTTCAGAACACCTCTTAACTAATACACATGCATAAAACTTAATGTCAGGAGCAGCTTAAAATTCACTTTCATTTTATGTTGTTAATTCATAGGAAATTCATTCCAACTAAAAATTCTTGTTCTGAGTCATCACAGATGACTATTTCACTATAATGACTGAACACATTTTAATGGCTAACTTCAATATCAAGTAGAGTATTTTTTTCACAACTCATATATTACTTCTGTTAATTTGATATTAGGTAGATTTTGAATACCTTAACATTTTTCTCAAATGCCATATTGTAAACGCTGCCTTATGGAGTGGCAAGAATGCTCCTAAGTAGGTATGTTGAGTTGAACCTCCTTACGTGTGAAATGTGGTGTCTCTGTTGCTATGAAATTGGCCGGTTCTGTTCTTCTTCTGGTGTGGTTCTGATAGCTTATGTATGGGGGATGTTGCCATCATTTCAAACCTTCTTTTGTTTCTAAACTTAAATCAGTAGTTACCTTTTATTAGCTGTGTCTAGACTTGAAATGATTTTGGTAGATGCTGAAGCTTACATATGCTATTTTAGTTTGTGTTGATGATTTCTAGATATTATTAAATTTCTCAAGAAGGCACATGGATTTGATTATCATAGTGCTTACATCTTGAGTAACTTCATATATAATTTTATTCTACAGGAATTTGCTGCACTGACAAAAGAATTAAATGCATGCAGGGAACAGCTGCTGGAAAAAGAGGAAGAGATTTCAGAACTAAAAGCTGAAAGAAACAACACAAGAGTAAGTATACAGCAGACCTTTTCTGGATAACATGTGTGTGCAAACTTATTTATAAATCTAGATCTTCATTTGTGTGAATCAGAGGACAAAATTCCAGCATTTTCACTAGTAAAAGAGATTCTAAGTAGCAGGACATATCTACCCTGCTACAGTCCTGAAGGAAATGAGTGTATTAGCCAGATATATTATGAACGATTACAATTACAGGAGATGTAGTTTGTAGCACGGTAAGGTCATTCAGTTTAAATGTCTTTTAAAGCAAGGGACTCATGCAGCCTTCCAAGCCCGAGTAGCCTGAACATATCCTCATCTCTTACCAAGGCAAAAGGCAGGGTTACAACAGATAACCAGTTTTGCCTTGTGCCTTGGATTTGATCTGAATAAGGATGAGATGAAGGCTGCTGCACATACCACATGCAGTCTGTTGTTTTGCCTACATGCAGCCTTGTGACCCTTGAAGTGAATGTCATTTGCCATACTCCTGAGTAAGGACAAGATTAAATCCTGAAATGTATCCTGTTGTGCTTCAATCAGAAGGTACTGTTCTCTCTGGGGACAAGAATATATGATACAGCACCTTCTGAAGATTCTCAAATAATGGACAGAATTGTTTTCAGAATAATTTGGATGTAAAACTGTCTGGGAAAAGACAGATTTGGTCTAGAAACACAAGAGAGTAGCAGAGGAGACTTTATGGTGTTTGTGGAAAGGTGTGAGGAAAGAGCTAGAGTAGTCCCAGGTCAGATGGGAGTCAGGCTGGTAGTGAACATACAAAAGAGATCTCAGGCTGAACACCAAGGATGATTTCTCATATCCATATTACATTCTCTGTGATCTGAGTAACTTTTCCCAATATCCTATTCTTAATAAATTAATAGCAGTTTGGATACTCAGCTAACATCTCATCTTTGTCAGCTAATTTGCATTTTTAAGAGAATCTGACAATATATATGCCAGAAGACCTGAGAGAGGGCCCTTCTCCCTACTTTCTTCTTCCCATCTATAGCACCACTGAGTGCCATGGAGTTCAGGAATTCAAGGGAAGACAGATGAAACAGATGCCTACAAAGAGGCAAAGTTGACCCATGTACTTTCCTGGATGTTCAGGAGATGATCACATTTAGCACAAAGTTCTTAGAGGTGATGGGTTTGGAAAATCTTATGGGAGGTATAGGTGAGACCTACTTTTTCTCCCATTAATTAATTATTTCATTTTGAGAAACATGTAGGAATTGCACTGCGTTTTCCAGGTTTAGAAAAAATATGTCAGCTGAAGAAAAGTCTTAAGACTTTCTGTAGCTGCTTAAATTATCAGTAACTCCTACATGTGTATTATTTTAGTATTTAATAAAAAAATGCTTTATCCATTTCACTCCAAAGTCCACTGAACACCAGCTTTAGTGTGTTAAAGCTGCAGTGCACCAATATCTAATGTGGGTCTGATATAAGCAGTGCAGACTAGCAAAAATTCCAAGACAGCCTAGTAGCCAAAGATAGTCACTTGCCAAGGAACCATGAGAGAAAAGGCAGATGACTCAACTGCAAGTCATCTCCTAAGTCAGACTGATCTCTGTCATAGACAATTTCTCTGCAGAGCAAGAAGCTTAAAGATCATCCATTCTTGTGTTTCTTGTGCTACGTAAAAGAAAAATCAGTAAGAGGTTTTCCAGGAGAAGTAGTATCAACAAATAAGAGTTACAGTGTTATAATCCTTGAAAGTCCTTGCAGTTAAAAGTAGTAAATGCTAACAGTGTATTTTCAAAATGAGGATGAAGATAGAGATCAAAATGTTTAGGCTATGAAAAAATGTAAGGAAAGCAGGAGATATTACAGTAAGCAAGGGAAAGACAGAGTCCAAATATTAATGGAGAAAGAGAGAGGAAAAAATTCAGAGACATGCCTTACCCTGACCTCTAGCATGCCTGACCCCTGACCTTTCATTAATAAGTTATTACCCATCCATGTCATATTTGTATTCTTGCCTGGCTTTAAGCTGCCATATTACTAGAATATATTCCAGAGTTGGCTGTAATAGTCATGCTGTTTTCTGGAGTGACAGATAGGGAAAGATGAACATTTTATATGCAAAGCTGTTGTTTTCTACACGCAGTCTCAATGATGTGATTTCCAGCAGTGTTCATTGGGAAGGCATTGCCTATAAAGTGGCACTTTTACAGACTGAGATTCATGGTGTTATTAATGCAAAACAACATTAATATTTTGTAAGAAAAAACATTTGCTCCAATTTTTTTCTGTTAATTTAGAATTAATTAATTCTGTTAATTTAGCAAGGATTCTAATAAAATAATTAATATTTGGAGGACCACTGATACACTTTCACAGTGAGAAAATTAAATTTATTTTCTCATATATATAGTCTATCTAGTGCATCTTTTGTCCTCCCTCTAGTGTTCACACTTAAGCCAGCCCTAGCTTAGCTCACCTGACTCCCCAGGACACACTGAAGCATAATCACACATAGTGGAACTACTCATGACAACCACTTTGTCCCAAGTAGCACTCCCTGCTGATTTTAAATGAAGATGCTCAGCTCCGAATTGCAGCTCCTGAATTTTTTAATCCAACCTTTTATCTCCTTAGGGTAACAGCAAAAAAGATATTGTTTGATTTGTCCTGCTACTGAATATCAGCAGAAAGGAATGAAAAGGGCAATTCTGTCAGGTCCTGAGTACACACCAGCCTTACCAGGTCCCTTTTACACTTTCAGTTAGCCTGACTGGCAGTATTTTATTTACTCTAGACCCACACCTATGTCCATCTTTCTTTTCTGGGAACAGCCTCACAGTTTTTCCTCATCACATAAACACAAAACTGATTTCACATCCTGATTTCCCTTTCTTTGCCAAGCTGTAGTGGTAGACTGATGGTAACATATATTAGAGAGAGACATCATGATGGAATTACATTTTTTGGGACACATACACTTCAGATCTCAGCCAAAATAAAAAATTAAACCTTACCCCAATATTTAATCAAGTTTCTACTCAATCCTTCTATAAGCATTCTTAGGCATTTGCTATTGAATGTGTATTTTTCCTGCCTATGATAAACTTTTTCTAACATATTAGCAGAAATATTTTCATTTTAAGAACATAGCTGGCAACTAAATCTATCAAGGCAAAACAGAAAATGTGGGAACGCTGATTGTGTGGCATTGCTGACAGGAAGACAAGTTCTCTCTGGAAGACCATTGTATGGGACTTTGAAAACAGATACAAAAATATCTTAATAGAAACTCTTACAGTTACTTCTCTGGATATTCTCTAGATAGAAGGATCACCTGTAGCATGTAGAAAGATAGCATCTTTTCTGCACCTGGAAGATAAGTCAGTGTGATCTAGCAGGTTATTTAATGGAAATTATAAAATAACACTACTTTGGCTGTTTAAATGAAAACAATTTTTTTTCTCAGTCTGTATTATTTAAAAGAATACGTATGATTAACTTATTAGATCAGAATATTATTATGAGAAAACTTGGGGGTTGGTTTGGTAGCTGAAAAAATATGTTACTGTACTTCTATGGATTAATCTGATTGTGGATTTTCCCCTACAACAAAAAAGGACCAGACACATGCATGTGCTTTTTGAATAAAGTATAAATTTCTTGCTCAAATTGGTCTGAACCATTTTAGTTCTAACAGTTTAGAAACAAAAAAATTGTACCTGTGTTCATAAATGAAACAGCAATAACGAAGACAATGTCATTAATTCTCTTTTGCTTAATGCCTTAGGAGATGAAGCTCCTATTAAAGTGAACAAGGCTGAGTTATATCTAATTTTATTCATATTTTATTGTCTCCATTCCTTATTGAATGGCTTATGAAACATCTTCAATTATGCACTGCAGTCCCATCATACCTATAGATCAGAACTTAACCCTGTGTTTTATGATTCAAATTCCCTTCTACTGTGTTGGGAAACTCTATGTATATATTGCAAATTATGGTTTTACCTATTTTAGCTCATTTTTTCATAGGTCTTTTTAATTAAATCAATTTCATAGGTGCAGAATATTAATCAGGTATTGTATTTCTTTTTTAAACATGAGGAGTTCTTACAGTCTAAAAACACTGTACACAGGAAAATAAGTATATCTGTCTTCTAGAGTTCTGCAAATTACAAAACATTAATTCAATAATATAAGTAACAGTATATATCATTGCCTCAATATTATTAACTATCTTGTAGATTCACGTGTTCTCTTCTTTCAAAAAAGAGCACTTCTGTCAGAAAGTAGTGTAACAACAGATAGTAAATGTAACATATAGTTATTCAATCACTATGTTTTTATATAACTATGTATTTTTAGGTAATCTGTGTAGTGTAATAGTTACTATATTTCTATTCATTATCCTTACAAAACCCCCATTCTTCCTGTTACTTTGTACCATTACCCAATTGTTACATTTTCTTTCACACCTTTGTTTCACATACATGGGATTTCTTTAAGGTTTTAGGTTGCTTGCATTTTGGTTTCTGTACAGAAGGACAGACATGGGACACACTGCAGTAGTTGGGCTGTAACTTCCTTTTTCAGAGATTTTCACTTTTAGCTTACCACTGTAGCTGTTGGAGGTTACACCACCTGACCACAGGTGAAAAGTGGTTTCCATCACTGTGGAACAATGCTGAAGAAAATCACTGATTTTGTTACTAATTCTAGAGTTAGTCTTCAACCTCATGTCTTCTTATTTTACTTGTCTTCTCTGTTCATACCAGAGATGGAGATTCACTGAACAATGTGAATTCTAAATATAGACTGAAAGAAAATTCAGTTTTTGCTCTGCTAGTGAGAAATTCTAAGCTGAAACCTCAAAAGATAATTGTCTTCTTAGTGGGTTACCTCATTCCTCTAAGGAATAACTTAAGCTAAGTCTGTCTCGTTTCACTAAAAGTCTTTTCTTTAATTTTTTTCCCCTGTATTTTATTATTTATGACTCTCCTTTTCTCTCCATTACCATCTGCTGAGTCTTTAATTTCTCCATTTATTATTCTGCTGTGAACTTTTTCTACAAATAAGTTTTTAAAAAATAATGAAAGTTAAGATAAAATATTTTATATTGATTAAAATCCAAGTCCTGTAATTGCAAACTCTACTGAGTCACACTAATTTTGATTTACCGAGCCATCATTCCATAAAATGATTATTTTAACTTCTTTCATTTTATATATGTAGATCAGTGTCCATAGAGTCATGGTGGTAGAGTGTAGTAGAACAGAATAGGTGATAATCTACACTGAGGTAGTTTATACCATTAAATCTAACCATGCATTTCTGTTTCACAGAAATCAATCACTTTCATAATTGCTTTGTAAGTGATTTGAGAAATACAGGAAGCTGGGTATATTCTAAAATTTTTCACCTTTCATTTCCATTTCATTCTAATTAACACTTTAAAGATGCTACATTCATTCAAAAAATACGCACTAGAGCACTTTTCAGTATTTAAATTATTATTTTTATACATTTTTTTATGCTTATAAAAAGTCCAGAGTTCCAGAAACAATCCTATTTACATAAAATACAATTGCCAGCACGGCATCATGAGCATCATAAAATTTGTCCAGCATAAAACTCACTTGTCAGATTATTTCATAATTCATTGTCAAGCTTATGCTTTCCAGTAGGGAAAGCACAGCAATGATGCGTGGGTGATTCTGTCCTACCTGCTGCTGTTGATCTTCATCTTCTTTTCTTTGCAAGCTGCCTGTCCCTCTGAGTGCTTGACAACTGTTACAGCTTGACAGTGTGAGGGAGCAGAAAATGCTCAGCAGCCCATGATCACTATTAATGCCAGAGTTTAATTGCAACTTACTGAAATCCCTAAAGCTGTTTCTAACCATTCTTTCGTAGTTTAAATGAATTACCATTATTGTTGCAACATTATTTCAATGTGAAAACTTGTGATGTTCTCACAGCTATTTGGAATATTAATTCTTGAACTACATATGTTGAGGAAAGTCCTCAGCATGCCCAGAAGTTATTGTGATTTCCCTCAGATGCTAAACATTGGTTGGACATGCCATCATCTTCAATGCCAATCTTCTATGTTTATATTCCCTTCCCTCATCATTGTAGCCCTGAGACACTTCATAATTCTGTCAGTGTTGTTGACATTTTCACTTCCATGAGAAGCAGGGAAGATCTATTACCCCTTTTTTTTTTAATATAATTGTAACTGGGGAAAAGTTGAATAAAACAGCAGATATTGTTACAAGTCCAAAGTAGGACAACAAAGCTGTGAAGGGTCTGAAGCACAAGTCTTAAAAGGAGCAGCTGAGGGTCCTGGGGATGTTTAGCCTGGAGAAAAGGTGGCTCAGAGGAGATCCTATCACTCTCTACAAATGTAAGTCAAGTGTGGGGTCAGCCCCTTCTCCCAGGTAACAAGGGAGGAAATGGCCTTAAGTTACACCAGGGGAAGTTTAGGCTGGGCATCATGGACAATTTATTCACCAAGAAGATTATTCATGATTGGATACAGCATTGAAACAGGCTGCCCAGGGAAACAGTAGGGTTGCCATCCCTGGAGGTATTTAAAAGATGTGTAGATGTGGCGCTTGGGCACTTTGTTTAGTAGAGGATGTAGTAGTGCTGGGTTTATGCTTGGACTTGATGATCTTAGAGGTTTTTTCCAGCCTAAACAATTCTATAATTCTGTGAATCCAGCATTTCATCAGAGCAGGGGGCAAGGATTTGCTCTTTGTTCTCAGTCACAATCAGATGTGTTATCCCTTAGGTTTTTTCCCTTTCAGCAGAACTGGGAGTGATGTTTCACTAAGAAACCTGGTTAATGGTGTTCCCTGCTCAGCTGGTTTTGCTGTTAGCAGCTCTAACAGAAGTTGTGAAGAAATAGATGTTATTTTTGTTGAAAAGCAAAAATAAGACATTTTTACAAAAGAAAAACCTATGTTGGCATGCCTTCTTGAACGTTCCTAGAGCTGATGGCAAGGAAAATTCCGTGATCAGAGGTAGTTTCCAGAAGAATAAGTGACGCAAACGCTTGAGTAAATATGGACAGAAAGAAAAAAGTATGAAATGTTCACAAGCACTATTTTAGTTCTCCATGGGTCTTTTGACACAGCTGTGAGAATCTGTTTACAGTAAAATAGGCAAATCAGAATTTTACACTTGATTTATGTAGCAACTATGAAATGCATGCAGACATTGGAATATGTCTTTTTCTCCTTTGAAATGGTCACTCTAAGCTAAAAAGAAGCTTAGCTTTTGTGTATGTTAAATGGGTGATTGTCAGTGGTTTAATATTATGTATTAGGCATGTTTCTAACATGGCAGTAACATAACCTAAATATGTATCTGTAGCTAATCTTCAAAAGGCTAGAGTGCTGTACTGTTCATCTCAACTAGAAAACTCCTCCACAATCACCCCATTATAGCTTCTGAGTTCCCACTAGTCTGCTCGCGTCTTATACTTGAAAACTTTGTTTAACTTGTTTTGTCTCTTCATCATTCTCTTTGATCTCTGTTCTGCCTTTGCTTAGCAAATTTCTTGTCTTCTGTCCATGCTGACTTCACATGCCCTTTTGGGATTATCTGTCTGCCCCAGCTCAAAATGAGGTTCTGGATGTATGCTAAGAGATTTTTGTGTATTCCTTATTTGTCTCTTTGCTATAGGTTATGTGTCATTTCTTCTGTCATTAATATTTTTCCATGTCAAAATTTCCATGTCACCATCACTTTTTTCCTCTCTTAAACCAGATTTTCCTATTTTCCTATCCAACTAAGTCTTGCAGGCAGGCTCTCAGAAGTCTCTGATTATCACAGCATTTGTCTGGGAGATAAGTCATTTAGGGTAGTAGGACTCCAAATATCATAAATTTGCTCAGAGTTGGGCTGAAAAAAGGTTGCCAAGGTTTTGTTACTCTGGACTGGTTTAGTGGGTGTCAGTTTGAGCATTAGACAACTACAGACCTGTGGAAGGAATGGCCATATTAAAAACTCAACTGTGGGCCAATGTCTTCCCTTTTTTCCCAATTTCTTTAGATATCTGTAGCCTTTTGGCTGGATTTAGAATGATCAAGACATAGCTGTGATGCACTGAAAAATTTCTGCATAAAGAGAACCAGTCGGGATGAGCCAGGCTCTAATGGAATCAGCCAGGAGTTGGGAATGACCGTGGGGAAATCTCAGTGCACAGTGTGGATTAGAGTCAGATTCTGGCTACCCTAGGGCTATGGAGCTGGGCAGAGTTAGGCTGCACAGAGAAGGAAATGTTGCACCCTCACAGACTCTTTCAAGAGACATGGCAGACAGTAGGTTGAAGAATTAAAAATCAGCTATTGACTTACTTTCCTCCAGCTCTCTCCCAGATAATGTAGATGGCCTAGAAAAACCATGTCAATACAAGAATTTAGACCAAAATTCAACAATTCAGCTCTATTTATAATAGCAATTAATTGTTTATTTAATTACTACTATGAACATAAATACTCTGTAAATATTTGGAAAAGTTCTAATCTCATTTAATTTTCCAACGTCCCACAGCCCCATATTGAATTCTTGATGGCTCTATTATAAAGAGGTCTCTTCAAATTTGCTCTTCTATGTCTAGTAACTAGTGTAAGAATAAAAACTCTTATGTAACTAAGAATAATTGTGGATTACTGATAAATACATATATTTACTAATAGTAGCTATATTAAGAGCCACATCAAAGGAGAAATATTAAACAATTGTCCAAGTAGTGTTCAGATTTCCAGTTCAATGACTTAGATATAATTGTTTGTTTCAATTACAATACATTTAACATGCATTCTGATTCATGAATTTAGCTACCTTGATTTAACCTTACAGCTAACCAAGTCTCTTTAATGCTCAGGCACTAAAAACAGCAATGGTAGCCCTGTGAAAGTATGGGCAAATGAGGAATTTTCTATACACCATCAACATACCATTTTAATTTTTCCTTTAATGTCAGAGTAATGATGAAAAATAAATATAATACGTTTTTTAATATGTTATTTGTGGTCTGTTTTACAGATGTTTATGGACCTCTCTGGTATTTGTGGTGTTTTTAATACAACAGAGTAAATTAATATTTTAAAGCATGTGCTAGTGACGAGCACCATTAGCTGGGGCAGTTCTAATGAATAGTCTTAAAAATCTAATAAAATATACTGTTCACTCCTACATATTGTGTTAAGTTGCTTTCAAGAGAAATTGAAAATATATTACAGTTAGGCTGAATTAATTGTAAACTTATTTAATATTTTTGCATGATTCTTTAGACTGTCTTTGTTTATTTGGCTGCCAATACTTGTCAGTTACTATCACAAATGATATGCAAATATGTAATTAATTTAAACAGTGACCCTATGCTTAATGATTTGTTGGTTTTGCTTTTCATAGCAGAGTGTTAAGTCAAATCATGAGTAGATTTTCTATTTTTCCATTTATTCCATCTGGTTTAGAAACATGAAATATTTCTAATAGTTCCAGCAATCTCTCCTACCATGAGGTTTCCAAGAAAACTGCTGTTTGTTATCATGCACTTTGTAGTTAGGATTTATGTGGCATTTAGGGGCGCAGAAATTAACAACTCTTTATTTCAAATCCAATAGCTGTTACTGGAGCATTTGGAGTGCCTTGTCTCGAGACACGAAAGGTCCCTGAGGATGACAGTGGTGAAACGGCAAGCACAGTCTCCCTCAGGAGTTTCCAGTGAAGTTGAGGTCCTCAAAGCTCTGAAATCTCTGTTTGAGCACCACAAGGCTTTGGATGAAAAGGTACAGTATGGAAAAAAAGCTTGCTAAAAACACTCTTTAACTTGCCTAATTGTGTTTTATGATGCAGAAGAGCAACAGTATTGTTTATTTACTCCTTGGAATAAATGCTGTACTTAGAGCATTTACAGGTGTCCAGAGAAATCTGGATGGTAAGCATGTATGGCCAATAGCTGTAATGCACTCGAAGTCATTTCAGCTATCTTTTATAGACAATAGAAATTACTTCTTAAAATAAGCAAATCTCATCCCTACCAGACATGCTTTTCCTATTTAGCACAAAATAAAGATGATCCTGTAGAATTTATTGGATGTAGAATGTGACTTTAAGTTATGGTCATGAAAACTCAAGTATACCTCAAATTTTAAAAACACACAGGCAGAATGAGTTCTTCCTAAGTACATAAGGGAACTTGGCTCTTAGATATTTTTAGGAGAAAAACCTCCTTAATTTCAGAGATCTTTTAGCCTTTGCTACACAAGGACAGCATTCCCTTTACAAGGAACATAACCTAAAGTAAGTAGTACATTCTTGATTATCAGTGGTGAGGAAGGGTCTGCAGAATCAAGGTAAAAAATACTGATAACTGCATCCAGTCATGCTAATGAAGAGGGTCTTTACATTGCATTCCTCGTCTATCCTGTGCTGGAAAGACTATATTCAAAGTGAATGAAACTTCGTTCAACTATGAATTATCACCTTGAGTATTGTGCACATGAATTCAGAAATCCAGTTCAAGTCTAGGAACAACATGCTTGGAAGGTGACTTATTGGAATTAGTAAGTGTCTCAAAACTACACATTGCAGGGAGCACGTGAGAAACAAGGCTCGTGAGCAAAGAACCTCATTCCTTATGGGGTCTGTTTTGGCTGATTTGCTCATTGCTGCTTCTCTGTTTGAGATGGTTGGGTAAGCAGGGATGACATTGTGCAGCACAGCCTCCGAAACCCTTGACTCCACAGATGAGCTGGATTGTACAGAACCAATTTAATGGTCTCAGAGGAGCAAATTTAACTTTCACAAATAGAAAGTTGACTTTACTTAATGAACTGAGGTAGCTGTAGATATATAGCAATATATATATCATTGGTAATGAAGGGATGAGACACTGTGGGTTATGAGTCATTCTAGGTTAGCTATCATGTTCAAATTTAAATAAATTAAGGGAACTTAGACTAAATAAAAACTTATTATGTGTTAGGTGTATTTTGGGTTATGTGTTCTACTCAGATATCATGAAAGCATCTTCAAAGAAAATCCAGAAAAGGAATTATAATGACTTCTAGCCACTGTAATAAGAGTTTAGATGTCATTAAGACTTTAAAAATTCTGTATTATTACAAAGATCTTTTGAAGATTGATGGGATTTATACTCTGAGCTTTGATCTTTTAGCCAGCACTTTAAATATCAATAAAACTAGGGTAGATAGCTCTGCAGCTTTTATACTTTTTGACATTGTGTTGGATAAGTATGAGAAATAGTAAGAACTAAACTTGAAATCGAATCTGATTATTCAACAGTTGTGTACCTCTGACACATTTTCTTTTGTGAATGCATTACTGTTTTGGTATTATGCAGCTTATTTTACATCCCATTTTGAAAACTATTGCATGGAATTAGATTGAAGCTACATGTAATATTTTGACTTGAATTATTGAAAAATTTGGCTTACATTGTCAAAAGAAAATTCTATTCTTATATTATTTTAAATGAAATAGGTTAAAATAAGTATTCAGCACATTTTGGAATGACACAGATAGACATCTTATGTATCTAACTGATTCCTGTCCCAGTGGTAATGACAATTATCAGGTTAGAAAAGTCAACCATCTGCAATCATATTAACAGAAGATTCGTTCCATTATAAAACATGTTTTGAAATCAGTCAAAATTACTTTTCCAACATGCTGTTTATGTTTGCGTTGAACCTTTTTTATTTTGATGCAATAAATCATATTTTTGTTATGAAGCATTCTGAGATAAGTCCAGTAAACAGTTTAAAATAATTTGTTATAAGCCCAGACCACATTATTTTAAAGTAAAAATCCTATATAAAAATATCTGGTTTTGTTACAGTGTCTCTGGAAAGATTGGATCAAAGATGTTGCAGATATCACCCAGATACTTGATAATATAATACTTTCACAAATTGTCAGCATTATGGTGATTTTTATTTAAAAATAATGAAAGTAAAAAAGACTGCATGCACCCAACTGTGCTAAAATTTTTTTTATGGCATGTGAGTCATACGTTCTGCATGGTGACAGAAAAGTTATGTAAGTTAGATTTGTTTCAGACTCTTCAGAAATAAGATATCAATCCGCCTATAAAAATGCATTGAAGCTTTTCAGGGACGAGTAGAACAATGTGGGTTGGAGCTCCTCAGAGACATCTGGCTCAACCTCCTGCTCAAAGCAGGGCCAACTGTTTCAGGTTGCTTAAGGTCCTGTCCAATAACTTCTGAATAATTTCTAGGCAGAAAACCTCTTCTGGTGTTTCACCACCCTCACTGTAGTTTTTTCCCGTAATACCTATCTGGAGTTTCTGTTGTTGAGTTGCACTGGTTCCCTCTTGTCCTGCAAGGTCTCCCATTCCTGCATCTGCAAGAATCTAGCTGTGTTTCCTCCACATCTTCTGGTTAGCTGGTTGTAGACAGCAATTAGATCTCCCAGGAACATTTCCTCCTTCACTTTGACCAGACCCAGCTCTCTCAGCCTGTCTCATCTACTGTGCGCTCCAGCCCGCGGCCAACTTGGTGGGGGCCTTCATAGAAATCTGCCAATGTCTTTCTTCTGCCAGGAAGCTCAAAACCAAATGCAGCCTCAAAAGTCTGGAGATAAATAATAATTTCCTCCAACCCACGTGCCAAACTGTGTGCTGGCCTTTTTCACCTCTAGGTCTTTTTTGCAAAACTGCTTTCTCTTCCTGTCTCATTCCCTAGGGTTGTGCATTTTGTGGCAATGGGATGCCACACAGACATTGTGTCGCTGATCACAAACCTCTGAACCTTGCAGCCCAGTCCATTTTTGATGCACCATGAAATCTATTTCACCAATTTACATCTCACCAGTTTCTCTAGGTATAAATGGAAGATCTTGCAGAAAATCTCAGTAAAGACAAAGAGCAGTCATTGTTCTCACCTCACCCATGGGACCAGTCCTCTCATCATGCAAGGCAGTAAGATTGGCCAGGTATCATTTGATTTTGACAAGACCATACTGGCTCTCCCGAATCACCATCTTAGCCTTTATGTGCCTGAAAATGCTTCCTGGAAGGGACAAAACTTCTGTGAGTTTTCCACTCATCAGGAATCTCCCTGACTCCTGGTACTTTCAAAGTAGAAGAAGGTCGTCTTATGACAAATTAATCAAGTCTCTTGGCATCCATGGATGGAGTCAATGGAGTTTGACCTATGTATGTCTTGTCTTCCTGCCACACAGACTGTTGCTGTGCTCAGGGGAGGCCTGCAGGCAGAATCTCACAGTAAAACTGAGTCAAAAAAACACGATTTATGATACACTGATGTCACAGCAAAATAAACAGTGCCCCAGCAGAAAATGCACACAAAGCTAAAGTACGTTAATGGATAAAGACTGTCAGAAGTGCACTGGAAATGTATCATGATCCTTTGCAAATGAGTAATGCAAATTTTTATTTAATTTTTTCTTCAAAAAAAAATGTTGACTGAAACTATTAATGTGGATGTTACATTCTTGGAAAAGCATAACATAATATTTTCATGAGAAGTTTTGCCCTTTAAACTTACAAAAATATGAAGAAAATCTTAAAATTCTTCCTGAATGCAAATTTTCTTTCATGTTTTCACTTCCTACACTAAAACAACTTGATGTGTTGTAACAAGCTCTGCCACAAAACCTGACTGATCATGAAAGGATTGCTACATGCACAGTACAAGAACGACAAAACCATCCTCATTGCTATAAGAAAATGCAATGAAACCTCTTAACAGATTGGAAAGTGAAAAATAAAATGTATCAATTTCTAGGCGGGCCTGCTTAAGTATAAAAAGAATCAGGAGTGAATGATACCTTATTTCAGTCTGTTGACTTTCTATTGCATGTAGTCTGGGCTTTGCCTTTACCTTTTGTCCAAAAGATAGATCACCACAGAGAGATCACAGCTGTGATCGTATTATTCTGAGAAAATATGGCTGTCATTGTAGTTTTTTCAGTCTGACAGCTCCTTCAGCATCCCTCTCGTTATCCACATGACACAATCCTGGAGAATGAAAGCTCGTCATGAGCTTCCCATGTGAGAGAGCCTGTTTGGCTGAGCCCAGTAGGTACATTCTAGTAAGTAGGAAATGCTAAGAGTATGCTTTTAGTCTTACCCCATTATCTGTACGAGACCTTAGTAGAGCCAAACAAAAGTCTTCACAAACTGTTTTAATGTATTTTACTAGAATTTTTGCTTTAGGGCCCGGGGATAATGACAGAGTTCATTTAGTTTAGAAATGTTTACCATTATATGTGTCCCTCAGAAAAATCTCATTGTGCCTCCTTGGGTAAGTGGTGCCACAGCAAATGAAATTGATAGCACATTAACTGCATTTATGATGATTACTATTATTAAGAAATTTAATTTGAGAAAAGTTATCCATTTGCAAAAAATTTTGTGTATCTAACTATGCTAACATTTTTAGAAATACAAAGCCAAAGCAAATGGGCAGTTCTGCTAGCAATTTTAAATTTTCATCATGTGAGAAGTTAAATACAGTGACTGTTTTACGTAAGTGTAAATTTAGGTTATATGTCACAAACAACAAGCATTGTTTAAAGAATGTGAAGTTTGAAACACCAGAATTAGGAGTGATTTGGGCTAGGACGAGTGTGAAATTCCAACTTAACATTTCTTATAGAATTTGCCATTGTATAAGTCAGTTGAAATTCATAGCAGTGTTCATAGGGTGGAAACCTCCCTTCAGTTATTTATCCTGTTCTTCTTAATGCTTCAGGTCTCAAGCACTTCTCTTATTGCTGCTAAGTAGTTCATACTTTTGTTGTGTGGTTTTTTTCATGCAATGAGAAGCTGTGGAACTAATGTAAGGCAACACTGCAAAATATTTCGTGATATTATATATGAATATACATGGAATTGTTTCTAAAAGAGTGAGTAAAGACAATATTTCCTAGAAATCATTGAAGCTGAATAAAAAATAGAAGCTCATGTTAACTTCATGGTTAGAATAGACATTGAGTAGGTCAGGAAAATATATAGTCCTTATATACAATTCAGAAAAAACAAAAGGTAGAAAAATTATTATGTTACTTGTGCCATTCTATAGTTCTACTAGCCTTCTAATATAGATCTGAACATGACTGTTGTCCTGCAGACATTTTTCCTCTTTTGCTTTAAACTTTGGGTTCAACTTTTAAAATGTACATTTGGAAAGAAGAAAGAAGCAACTTCTCCAAACCCAGTTTTTTGGTCAGTGTTGTAAGAAAAGCACCCAGTTGATCTTCACAGTGGAAAGCAGCTACCAGATGTTACTGTCTTAGCTAAGAATCAAAAACCCAGTGGTTCTCTTGAGATTAATTAATGGTAGAAAAGCATAGCTGATATTCTTACAAACAAAATTAGCCTATTCATATCAGCATTGTCACTGTCTTTTTATTCATTAGCAGGTAACTAGGAGAACTTTTATACAATACACTGTTTATCAAAAAAAAGTGATTCAATTCTAGTGTGCAAGTGTTTTCTTAAAAGCTTTTTATGGGCTGCAGATCTGAAGAGAATGAAGAAAGAGTTTGACAGCAAGCAAAAAAGTGGGAAGCAGTTGCTAGGAGACAGAGAAAGATGGGTGATATTTTGCACTGACAGCAGTGCTAACATGACATTGACTGTGTTACATTTAAAGATAATGTGGTTGCATTTAAAAGCCAGAAGAATACTCAGTCATCTGGGCATATGTTGGATACACCCTCTAACATGGAGAGAGCAACTCTTTTCTGCTGTGTCTGTGACACTACAGTCATAAAGTCACAACATGGAAATAATTAAAAATCACTAGTTTGAACCCCCTGCTGTGTTAGGGACACCATTCATGGCCCAGGTCGCTCTAGACCCCATCCAAACTGGCCTTGAACACTTCCAGGGGTGGGGCATCCACAGCTTCTCTGGGCAACCTGTTCCAGTGGCTCACCACTTCCACAGTAAGAAAATGTCTTCCTAATGTCTAATTTAAAACTGTAAAAAATCTCCAGCTCTCTTGTAAGCCCCCCTTAGAAACTTGAAGGTACTATAAGTTCACCCTAGAGCCTTCTTTTCTCCAGATATTTGTCCTTTAAAAATGTGTATGATAGCATTTCTGTTAGATCAGTTGACATCTGATTAGTCTTTGTGAAACGTCTTTTAGTAAAACTCTATCATGTGCCCAAGAAAATAAAAATATGTTGAAGAATTATATGAAATTTAAGCAAAGTAACTTCTGAAATGATACACATGATCTCAGTAAGATAATTCTTATTAACTACAGTTACTCACTTACTGTCACTTCCAGAAAATAGAAAACAGTGTAATATGCCAATCACTAATTGGCATTCATCACATAAAAAAAAAATAAAAAATAAAAAACTCAAACAAAAATTGTCAGATAAAAATAGTTTGCATTTGTTCCAGTTCCTTTTTCTATAACAAGATAGTGATCTGGAGAAACCTTTCCTGCATCTCTCAGAAATCAGGATAGTTCTGTTTGAGATTTTTTTGCTGTGAACAGAAATTTGAAGAGAGATTCCTATAAAAAATCCTTTGTAATACACTTGTGTATGACTGAGAAAGAAATGTAAGATGAGAACTAAAGTTACAGCTTTAACCAGAGGAGATTTCTCCTTCAGATTAGAGTGCTGATTTAACTTATTTTTTTACTAATAGAATCAAAGATTTTCCTCAACTTCAACAGCTTTATTTATGTTTGAAAATGAAGAATTAGTTGCAGCCTTTCCGATGTCTCTATGGCAAATGGGAATCTCAATTCATTGTTCACTGGTCAGATGAAAGGAAAAAAGATACTTTCTGTGCCAAGGCAGAATTTATTTCAATTCCTTTAGCAACTGTTAGATTCAGAGAACAAATAAGAGGCATCAGACTGCAATTTTGGTTAGGTCATTATAAAAAAAGGCAGTGTATTAGCTATGTATGTGGGAGGAAGGTGAGGTAAGAAAAATTGTGTCTCCAGAGCTCTCTGTTGTTTAGAGGGAGTATTGTTAACAAGCTCTAAAATGGCTGTATAAAACCCACTAGGATTCAGTTCTACAGTGCCACAGTGTGTAAAGTTTAAGGGTAATTCTGATTCCAGCTCCTTGTAGAGCTGTGACATCCTCAGTAATGTGGCCTGGCTGGTTTGCAAATTCTAGTACCATTCAAAGTGAATGTCAGTATAAGAAATACTAGAATGCATTTTTTAAAATACATTCTCCTTTATACAACACTCTTAAGACTTAAATACATGAAGGTTTCAAAAAAAAATTCAAGTAAAGTTGCCAACTCATTGTATTTCATTTTGGCTTTTAACAACTGCCTGCTTGTAAATTTTCTCTTAATCATCCTGTCCCAAGGCAGCACTAACAGCCAAAGGCATTGAAGCCAGAAACAAGATTGTAATTTTTCACATCTAATCTGAGATTTTTGTTAAAAAGTTGTTGTACACCAGCTCCCATGGTGGTTAGAGAAGTTGAAATCAGGCTTCTTGGAGACAGGTCTACACCCCTCACTACTTTTAAATAAACTATGTAAAGAGGAACAAAAGCCTCAAAGTACTGCATAAAAACTCTATTTGCATTTGTTAGAAAGGGTGAATAGTTTTAAGTGTTTGCTTCCTGAATATGTATTTCATCTTTAGATTTAGTCAGTTTTAAGGTCAACTGAACATGCTGTGTTATAGTTTTGCTAACTAATTTTCATCTACTGAAGTCTAATCCATTCTTGGGATATAGTGAATCTGTAAGCAAAATCTCATTTCAGTCAGTACCAAATAAAAATTAACTGTGTAAAAAAAGTAATATTTATTAGACTAAGAGCTATCACTGGAAAAAATATGAAAGCGTTAGTATATATACAACTGTTTTAGGGATCTCCTGTATTTGTCAGGGATCTGAAAACAATGAAAATGTGTCATGCTTCTTTGTTTTGAAAGTTTGAAAGACTGGTTTTGTTTTGCATAATTTTCCAGCTGCATCTCTTGGTCTAATTGAGTATGCTACCTTACCCTACAAACATTGCTAATAGCCTTAAACATCCATGGGTCAGCAGCTGGAACAGCATTGCTGCAGCGTAGCTGGAACATGGAAAGAAATATACTTGGAGAAATATATATAAAATATATATATGAAGAATATATGAAAGAAATATACTGGACTGATTAGCCAGGCTATAAACTCATTTATTGTGAGGTGCCTAATGAAGTTCTGTAAATTAAGGAAGTCACAGGGTCCCTTAGCAGTCAGGAGAGAGTCACACACAGCACTGGAGGTCACTTCAGGTCTGATTTGCCTTTGGTTTTACTGCAGCTACATTGCTGGCTTAGGTTACATGAGCTACACGAGCTAACAATGAGCCAGGGCACTCAAACCAGTTCTCAATGTGTCTTCAGATACATTTAGTATTAAATATTAATAATCAATATTTATCAATAATTAAAATATTAATAATTATAATTGAGATCATAATCTTCTGAACAGATTCGGTTATTTATGAAACTGGTGCAAACACAGAAGATTTTTCTGCTTATGAGAGTATATACATTGTTTATGACTTTTTGCAAAACTGAAACAAAGGCATGATGATATAAAAGATTTCTAGTATATGGGCCTGAAGGCAATGCTACAAGTTATTTTTCTATGAATTTATTGCACTCAGTTACTATAAACAGATTAGTTATCTTTCATGGAGTGAATTTAAAACATCTGCAAATGTTTTGTTCTTTATCCTTTGTAAAAGATGTTTGTGAAAGTTTTATACCTAATGTGGTCTTAAAATATTTTCATTTGTGTGTATTCCATAAAATTTCAGGCAGACTGTGGAACAGCCATGTGGCATTTAAAGTTTGACACCTATTTTAATGGGTTAAGTTTTCCTATAGTTAGGTTTAAATGTTTACTACACAGTATGTCTCTTGCAAGGGTGCAGCACACATGCCTGCAAGTGGAGTGGCAGGGCATACAGTAGAGCATATGGCAGATTATATAATCTTTAAAGACTAATAGAAATTACGTTACTGCACATATTTTGATTTTTCTTCTAGGTAAGGGAACGACTGAGGGTTTCTTTAGAAAGAGTCTCTGCACTGGAAGAAGAACTAGCTGCTGCTAACCAGGAGGTAACATAAAACACTTTCTCCCCTTTTGAGATTAAATTTCTCTAATACTCTGTCCCATGTGTTCCCTGTCACTTTCTTCAAAGCTGTTAGAAAAAACCTCAATGAAGAAAACAAACAAAACTAAAGGAAAAATTACATTCTGAGTAAGCTTCTCAGTAAGGCTTGTTTAAGGTGGTGCTAAGATTAACACAACCTTCTGTTTACCAATTTATTCCCTCCTTCTCTTCCCTTGTGAGCAAGCCAAAATCCAAGAGCTAGTGACAGATTCCCAGATTTCTTATTAAACTTGAAAAATGAGTGAACCAACAAATGTCAGATGTCAGACACTGTAACAGTTCAATAACCTGAATTTCCATTTTACTATAAAATTAAGTAAAACGCGCACACATGTATATATACTCATTATATAAATGTTCATTAATGAAGGAAGGATTATGGTGAAATGTAGGTTTGTGTCTTCCCTTTTAACTGTATCATGGTGTACTGTGGTGCCATGTAACTATTGTGAACTTGGAAAAGAGGTATTTTTTCCTGTTTACAGACTGTTCTCTTGTTTGAAAGGGTGAACAGCAAAACATATTTGTATTGAACAGCTGTACACTACACACATAGGAAAAGAAAGTTTGCATCTTAGGTGATTTTGAGACCAGATAATGTAAGAAATGGAGTCTGCTGGTGACTACCATTCCCCTCATGTTCTGAACCCACCTGATGTGCTTTGAGTTGGATTAAAAGTATTTTGGATTATGACCATTTTCTGGTGTCATTTTATTCAGGGTTAAGACAGAAACTGAAAGAAAACACAGAGAACCTCAAATGCTACCAAACAATTTTTGAAAAGTGGAATACCCATAATTCAGAATAATGTGTGATAATGTAAAGTAGAGATTCCTAATGTTTTTTTAACTAATTTAAACTGGAAAACGTACTTTCTTAAAGTTACTTCTTAAAAGCAGGACTTTCAATTAAGATATTAGTACTTTTTTTTTAAGTATGATAAATTACAAATCTATTAAAGGCTATTTTGATTCATGCCTTTGCTCTCTGAAGTAACTGCACTTTATCTGTTAAAAAATAAGACTCTTCTTTCAGAAGGTTTCAGAAAAGTTGTGTTCAAATAATACAGTTACACTATGTTGTGTATTCTGTTATTTGCACTAGCATTTCTTAAATAGCAAGCAGTCCTTTTGGTCATTCAAGCCAACTGAGATGCATTGCACTCCTCCAATCCCTCCTGCTCATCATCCAATTAAATCCAAGTTCACTTCACTGGAAATAGGACCAGGTCTTTAGAGAATTGCCTTGCTATTTAGAATTTTAAAAATTTAGTTAAACTTTTTTGACAGGAAAGAATAAAAGCATGCACAATGAAATTAAATTGAAATAGGACTTCCGTAGATTTTTCTTGCCCCAAATCCTTAGAAATGTTGAACAATGTTGAAAGTCAATTAAATAATAATGAAAAAAGAGTGAAATGGGAAGAGAAGTGGAAGAGAACAAGTGAATTATTTTTAAACAGTTATGCATTTGAACAAGAGTTCAGATAATTTTCACACAATTAGTTACTTAAGACAAAATTAATTAGAACGCTGTAGTATTTAAGTCTAGTTGTATGATAAATTCCACTGTGAATACCCAGGCAATAAAACACTAAACACTAAAAATTTATTGTACTATATATAAAAACAAATGGGCTAAGTTTCTAGGGGAATTGAATATATGGTTTTCAGTAATTTCTGTAGTCCTGTCTTGATGTCTGTTCTCCTGGGAGAATTAGTATTTTCATTCATATCCATTTTCTCATACTTGTTCTAAGAGTGCACTATATTCAGGCTATATCTAAACATAAAGTGATGACAGTAAGCTGGTTCCCTGATTTAACAAATTATGTTTAGGTATATGACAAGTATCAGATAAAAAGTAGCAGAAGTGTATATGCCTGAAAGCTTGTGGCTGTGGCTCTAACACAGCAGAAGTGAGAAATTTCAGACACTTGTGAGTATTTACTGGAATTATTCTTATATTTAAAAAAAACAAAAAAACAAAACAGGGAGAGAACAACTGTTCTCCATCATTTTCCATCATTAGGTGGTACCTAAGCTCTCATTTAACAGTCTTTTTGGCATATTACCTGCTATAATTTCTAATGTTCCCTGCCTCTCTGTCACCACTATCCACCCAGCAGCAGCCAGGGAGATAGAGGGAGATAGTTTAGATTGTCAAAGAACCTAAAAACGAGCTCTTTCCCTTTGCTGAGATGGCAGCTGCAGCTTTATTTCTTGGGATCCTATGGAGTGAGGTAGCAGGAGGGAAAGAGGAAGAGGTATCAATAAGCACTCCTTTTTGAAGACAAGGGGAAAGGGGTGGAGGGAATTCACACAACCAATAAGGAGAACTGGGGATAACAAGATAAGGGAAAGAAATCTGCAATTCTACATTTTCGGAGGTGCATTCTTTGGGTCATACCATTTTTCCTAACTGCATTGCAACAATTACCTACACAACAAAGGGAGTGAAATAATCTGTGACTGGCAAAGCTGATTTCAGCTCTAGCTGCTAACAGTCTTGCAAAGCACTTAATACTGGATAGGAAACAGTAATAAACCTTGAACTCTAAACTCCAGAGCAATGGGGTGGACATTTGGACCAGCTGGTGAAGCTCAGCTTGTGTAACTAATATTTACATGTAGTTACACAAGGGTGATAGAGGAGGGTTTTCAACTTATGAGCTTATATTTTATTAAAGCTTGTATTTTATTAAAGAGAGGATTAAAAATTCTTTAAATATATGTTTTCCTAGGGGGAAAGGTTATTTGACTATATATTTTATTTTGTTGCAGCTGATGAGTGGCTGTGGAAGGGGCCATTGTACGTAGCAGCAAACTAAATTGCTTTTAGTGAGTTTTTGTGCAGACAGTTTTGGGCAAGATGACTGCAGTAATAAAATTCCATGTTCATCCTCATTTTTTTTTTTCATTTCTGTTTACACTCAAAGCCATGACTAGTTCATGACTAGGAGATGTCTGTTGTAGACAAGGTGAATAGAAGATACTGTTAGCAATTTTTTTGAGAAATGTACCTCCTGTTTTTAATTAAAATTACTGTAAAACATTTGCTTACCCCTTAGGTGCTTTTAAAATTATGCTGGTTCTCATCTTCTTCTGTGTAACCTATGGTCTCTCCAAATAGTTTTATTGCTGAGGGTTATAATTTGCAGCTAGCAATTAGACAAGCTGCAAGTGGAACATCAGTAAAAAAGCTCAGTGGTATAATAGTGTTCTGTGAATATTTTTCAAGGGAAATGTGATGTTTTTCGGTGAGTGTATGAATACTTGCAAAGTTGAACAGTGATCTGCTAACTAGCTTCCTTTTTACACACTAATTTGAGAAAAATGAGTCTCATTGGCAAGAGAAGTGAATTTATCTTCATAGTTTTGTCATTCATGATCTTAATGGGAATTAACTTTCATGTTGAAAACACCGACAAAATAACTACTTTTGTTCTGCAGCTTTAGAAATACTCTTATTACCATTACAAATGTGAATCTTTGTTAAAAGTGTGCTAAACTATACACATGCAAACAGCCCACCAAGGTTAGTTATTAGTGCCATATATTCCCAGGACCCCAAGTGCTAGCATCTTCCACAGCTGAGGAGTATATAGATTATAGACCGTGACCCATAGTGACACTTTTACATCCATTTCTGCAGCAATGTGCAGTGTTAAGTGAAAACTGTTGCAATTTCAAGTAACAGATCTCCCTCTTTCCCAGAGCCTTCAACAAATAGTTTTAAAAAACACAAACCAAACAACTGTTAAAGCTTTTTTCCAAGGCTTGTTTTGTAAAATCAAGCTTTATACATAGTTAATACAATACAGGAATTATTATTTTCTTAATGGCTGTGCTTAATGTGCACATAATTATTTTTCCTGATCACTTTAAACAATTATCCATCTCTTGCAACATCTTTCTGTGTTAATAAGAATCATATGCTAAGTGGCATTCCAAAACCCTATTTTGTTTCCACTTAATATGCTGGCTTTTCCATCTTTCCTCATTAGTAGAAACTGTGGCATGAAAAATATAGCTTTACTTACATTTATTGCCTCAAAGATACTCTTTATGAACCCAGAAAACATTGGGACTGCATAATATTAAATTACAGAAACTACTGATTTGACTGTATATATCACTGTACTACCATATGCTTTTCCTCAGCATTTGTTCCAGTTGCCAGTGCTATTTCCAAATGCTAAATAACATTCTATTGCCTCTGTCAACTGACACATAAATTATATTTTGAAACACTCAGGCTTCATTTTAAAGCTTCATTGTTACAATTGCTTCTGCAAAAGTTTTCTTGACTTTGAGGCTAAATCTAGCTCCTGGGGCACTCAGAGATCTTTCAGAAGTTTTGGATCATAGCCCACTGCTTCATATAACTGCACACATTCTCCTGTTTAGGCAGTGGGTTTCTTCGTGATAATGGGTTATTTCATTTATTAGGGTACCCTAATGCTAATTTTATAGCATTTATGAAAGCATTCATTAATTATATACATCACTGGAAAGACAGGATGGTTTGAAATTTCTAATTCTTTATGTTCCATACAGAGACAGCAGAAAATGTAACCACTTATTCGGCAAAGAACTTCAAAATACCACGTTAACTGCCAAAATTCTGCTGTTCAGAGCAAATCAAGAACACAGTAAAAATTGCAGTAAAATTGCTACAGTTTTGGCTCTGACCATGAGAGATGCTGCAGACATGACTATGGTGTCATTGCTGCTAATGAAATATTCTGTAGTAGTTAATGTATTTATATATGTATTTCAAAGTGAATTCTTAGCTAAATGTGGCATGTCCTTTTTAACCATGGTTGCATATGAAAACATATTTCTATGCCTAGCTTTTTCATTTCCAGTTAGGCTAAGGCATTTTTTTACAGGGGTTTCCTGGTGGCCTTAGACTTCCTGTGTAAATACAATTCAAAGTGA